CTAATCCTAATCCTATTTTAAGACCATCTAATGATTAAAGCTACCGAATCATCCAACCCTTCTTCTTTTTTAATTTTTTATTGGTGGGAAAACCCTCTTCCACTTCTGGATTCAGACACCTCTACCTGGAAAACTTAAATCTAACTCGACACCTGTCTCAACCTTTCCACTTAAACACCCACTGATTTTCTTTTGTCGTATGCTTATATTCTCTGTTCCTCGGACATTATTAAATGCCCAAACTCCAATCATCTCCGTGTGTCTGACTCAGAGCTCTCGCTCTCACCACGACATGTCGTTGAGCAGCGGCGGCTCAGAAATTCCCGGCAACATGTCCGCGAGAAGTTACAGCGAGATATCGGAAGTGGAGACCCTCAAAGTCGGATTGGATCTCGTATCGGCTGCCCGGCGAAATATCGGGTTCCTGAAAACTGTGGCCGAGTCTCAGTGGCTTCACCAGAAGCCAACGGTTATTGAAGCCATAAGAAGGTCATGGTCAACTCTAGCTCTGAGCTTTTGATGAAGTATTCTGATCGGACGGTGGATGTTAAAGATTTCTGGATTGGTTTTGCAGGTACAATGAGCTTTGGATGCCGTTGGTTTCTGATCTGACGGTCGAGTCAACAACTCCTCCTACGATTCATCCTCCTATAGACATTGAGTGGGTTTGGTTCTGTCACACTCTGAATCCGGTAAGCTGCGTATAAAGTTTTGTTTGGCTGCTGGGAAAGTTTGAATTTTTCATATATGTAAATTTTTAATGTTGTTGGGTTTTTCGGTCAGGTTTATTACAGGCAATACTGTGAGTCAAAGTTCTCAAAATTGATAGGAAAAGCAACCATTTTTGACGAAGAGAACGAAGAGTACGCATTAATGAGGTGCAGAGAATTATGGGTCAGAAGGTACCCAAATGAGCCATTTGAGAATGAAGTTGATTATGATTCAGATGTGAGGGTTCCAGAAGCAGCCAATGAAGAAGAGCTTTTGGAGGAAGTGAAAAAGAATAGATTTTTGTATTCGAAATTTTCAGAGCCATACAGGGCTGAAATTGTGTATTTGATAGCAGCAAGACAGAGGTACAAGAAGTTTTTGTTCATGGTGCAGAGCTCCATTGATTTGTGTTCTTCTTTGGTGCCTGCCTCTGATATTATGCTCATGTGGCTATCCCATCAGGTGCGGTTTGGGTTATTTTTATTATGGCCAAAATTAAAAGATGGAATTTTTACAGTTCCTTTTGATTAAATTACTTCTTGGTACTCTGTTTTATATGAAGCAGAGTTACCCAACAGTATATGCTGAAGATTTGAAAGAGATGGAAGGTGATTTGGGGAAGGTGGTAAGCATGTGGGCCACTGTCAAGGAAAAAGAGGCGGAAGAGACCAAGAAGCTTTGGGAGAGGACGTTTGATCAACCGTATGAGAAAGCTGGTGGAGAAATAGCTTTGGAATTGGATGGAGGTGTCTCATTCAAGCGGACAGTTTACTGGGAGGTATCAGACACAGATGTCAATACGAAATACAAGCCAATGCACCCCAGATTCTTACTTGAGGTCAGTTTTTGCATTCTCTTCCTCTGCCCCTCTCTTACACCTAACTTTGCCGACCCTATCTTAAAGAAATTATGAGGTAAATGGAGGACCAAAAGTTCCACTTGGTGAAATAAGCACAATGGAAGTCCCATCTGGGCCCAAAGTGAGTGATGGTTTGCATATATTGATAAGACTGGCAGTGGGGCATGCATTAGAGAAATTTGCATGAAAAAGTAAAGGAAAGAAAATGATCACAAATAGCAATTTTATGAAAATTAAGAAAGAATATTCTTATACTTAGAAACAGAGGAATGCCAACAGTTGTGTATCTTTCAATCTGATTATGACTGTTTAACCAGTGCTTTGAAATTGTCTTCTTCTTTTGCAGTAATTAACTTCTACTCAAATTACATCTCTGAACTTTTAATATGCTTCTTTCATGCTTTTATATTTTAACTTCATCATAAGCTTAAAAAGGAACTAGAGAAGTTTAGTAAGTAAGTTAAGACATCTGTTTTTATCTCTGTTTATTACACTGATGGTACCTTGATACCTCAATGTAGGTTTGTGTGTTCGTCAGGCTGAGGGATAAGATGAAGGAAATGCAAGAGGATATGAAACGCAATGTCCTTCGTCTTCGAATGGTGAGGTGTCACAGGGAGTTAAAGCTTGAAAAACCCGTCTCCGACTTTCCCTATTCATCATGGCGAAAAGCTTGGCATCTCTACTGTGAGTTTGGAACCAAAGGAGTCATATTTGAGATTCGCACGCGTGGTGGCTCATGTTTTAAAGGAAGTAGTGTGCAAGAGACTGTTACATTCCATTGGAATGACTTACTTAGAGCACCCTCTCTAACTTTGGAGAAGGAAGATCAACAAGTTAAAATTGCTGCTTCAATAACTCCACCAGTTCAAGCACCATACCTGTTGAAATGTGTGCCAGACCGTGTCACAGATGATTCTGGGGCAATGATATCGGATCTGATTCTGAGAATGAACCAGTATCGTCCCCAAGAAGGCCGGTGGTTGTCTCGCACTGTTCTTGATCATGCAGGGAGAGAGTGTTTTGTGATTCGAATAAGGTTAAGTTCTAACAGCTTATCTTTTTTTATCAGGGGAAGGACAATTTTAATCTTTTGACAGTTACGATCTTTTCAGACAACATTGTATCAGTTACTTAATTGGATACACATTAATTGCAGGGTGGGAGAAGGGTTTTGGAGAAGAGGAGGCGAAACTCCATCAGCTGTGAAGTGGGAGGATAGGATTATAGAGATTCGAGAAGGTTCTTGGTCGTATGTTGCTGGTTCCATTGGGAGAGCCCCTGGTATGTTGTATATATCTGCATGGGCTTCTTAGAGACTATTATCTGTTTAGAGTTGGTGCGTAATTGCATTTGTTTGGAATCAAATTGTAAACATTTTTCTGCCGTTGTAGTACAGTGAAACTGGTAGGAACAGCCATCCCGAAAGAAGCACCGGAACAATGGAAAGCTGCTTGGAATTTTTCAACAGGAGACGAACTCATGATACGTTGGGAACTGTCATCATCAAAATCAGGTCTGAGTTTTGGTTTAAGAAATCCAGCTGCAGAATCAACGGTACGTTGGCAATTTCTTTTCTCCAGTGCATGCATATGCATATAGTTTCGCATAATTTGGTTTGAAAACCAATCATATATTGCAGGTTAAGCTGTTGAAAGGACGGAAAATGCAGTATCAAGTAAAGAAAAAAAAGTCACTGACCAAAGATGAAGAGTGTCAAAATGAGGAAGAAGGTGAAGAGGAAGAAGAAGATGAAGAGGAAGAGGGCTTCCTAACGCTTGTCCGGTACACAGATGATAATCCAAACGGAAGAGCAACAGCTCTTTTAAATTGGAAGCTATTGGTAGCAGAATTGATGCCTGAAGAAGATGCAGTATTGGTGCTTCTTCTATGCATTTCTATACTAAGAAGTGTATCAGAGATGAAAAAAGAAGATGTTGGATGTTTGTTAATCAGAAGAAGACTAAAGGAAGTAAAACTCGGGACTAGAGATTGGGGTTCTGTGGTACTTCACCCTTCCTCAAGTTCATCTATTTCTTCACCATACCTTCAACCTTGGTATTGGAATGCAAAGGCAATTATAGCATCAGATGGTGCAGGTCACATTACTAGGCAACCAAGTATTAGTTATTCACCAGAGGAAGGTGGTGATAAGTTTTACAAACGAGGGATACTAGCATGAGAAACGATGAACATTTTTGTACTTGTGTTTTTAGGCTTGGGATGAGAATGTACATACACAATCTTTCGCGATATTCACTCAAAGATTATTTTCTGAAATATGCGCGCCTTCCATTTGAATTGTTTTTAAAGATGGCATATTTGCTAGCAATTTTGGATTAATTAAATGTAAGAGGCTTGTAGCTCAAGTGATTAAGGGTCTTTACCTAAGCGTCCTAGGTTTGATTCCTCATTTTCCATTATACAAGTGGATTAATTAAGGGATATGATTTCCCCACTCCCATTTTCTCTACTTACACTCCCTTTTACTTTTTAATACTTTTTAATCAATTTTGTTCTTTCTCTTTCCTATTCTACCCTTAACTTACATTATTTTCTTTTTACTTCACTTTTATATTAGTTATTTTTCTTTATACTTAATTTT